CAAAATCGCAAAACTCTGCGAATTGTGGATGGCTATTTTGATGAAACTTATTTTGATATGATTTGGAGCAATTCTAGTTGTTTTTAGAGTTTTTTGAATTAATGCAAATTGTTTCAATTCTCTTTTACAACCCCAAGTGTGAAACGTGACGTGACGTGGCGTGACGTGACATAAATTCCCATCGTTATATTTTTGTTAATATTGCTTTTAAATGAATTTTCAACGCAAATAAAACATGTATTTTATGTAGAATATACTTTATATTTTGACTTCAGCGCCAATTCAGGGTCAGTTTATTGGAAATCTATGATTTATTATGTTTCAACCACATACGCCAAATTCGAACCAAATCGGACCATAAATACCGTTTTTCGAAATATCTCGACCTTGGCACCACCTAGGAAGACCATTTTATACAAACGTGATTCTACTTACATAGCTAGTATATATTTTAAAAAGCAGACAAATCGGCCCGTAAATACGTTAGATATAAAACTTTTATTTTTTTTGTCGTGGTGGACCTTCCGGTGGAAACACCCATATGCAAGTAAACTAAATAATAAAATACATTTGACACCCCGAACAAAATTCCATTGTACAGCATGATCATTCAAATCGTCTCTATTTGTATGATGACGCTTTCCAAACGGGGAAGGTGTAGTGACTTTCGTCAAAAGTAGGTAAACGTGGAAACAATAACCAAACGATAAGCCAAACAGACATATGACCGTTCTGGGGTCATAAACCCTTTAACGTTCATTCTTTTATTGCATTTCATTGCAGCGTATGCGATGACATATGATCACAAGACAAACCCAAGTGGAAGGTCCAAAAGCAATTGAAACCAAAATAGTTTGACACATTTACCAAATGTGTTAGTCATCGATTGGATATAGTTTTCAACGCTATATAAGTAGAAGTAAGTTCATAAGTACTTCAGTTACTGAAAATCATTCAATAAACACTGTTGATTTTAAAACCTAATAAAACATAAACACTTTTCATTTTAATAAATCTAACTTGCTCTTTGGCACTCACCCATAGTGACAAGACAAGATTAGATTGGATAGGCGGCTTTCGTGAGAGCTCTGTCCACAGCACAATCTATATAAGGCTAAGCACTTGATGGCAAAGTAAGGCCATCTATTTCAAGCAGTTCAACGATTGGCTCGAATTTTGTGCGATTCAGGTTCGCAGGTTAGTTTTATTAAAGATCGCTTAGCCAAATCATTGAGATTAAAAATACACAAATTCGAATTGAATGTAGGGTAGTTTTATTGTAACCATCAAGTTATTGCATTCATATTTTGAAACCCAAATCAACGCTTTGGTTATCCCGTCAACCACATCGGACACTCCTGCTGTGCGTGCAGACGTTAACCAGTGGCAACACCTGGCTGGCCTCGATATGGCCGATATTCATTTTGGTACACCTGGGGCTACAGACTGTCTCATTGGAGCTGATGCCTGGGGTAGAATCATGGAGGGTGACATCATCGGGGCAGACCAGATGAACCTTATGCTCCACGCACTCGCCTTGGGTGGGTAGTTTTTGGTCCAGCGTCAGAAGTTTCGTCGATGCAAAACTCATCGCTCGTACTCAGCGCACGGCTAGTCGAGGATGATCGGGTGCTGGAACAATTAGTCCATAGTTTTTGGAAGCTTGAGGAGGTCCACGCGTATGCATCAGGCGATGATGATGAATGTGGTCGAATATTTGCATCCAGACACTGCCGTACTGATGGACGTTACATGGTGCAGCTGCCGTTCAGCCGCGATGCACCGAGACTTGGCGAATCATATGCGCACGCTCTTCGCTTATTTCAACGCCCAGAAAGACGTCTAGTTTGTGATTCTGAGCTTAAAGATAATTACATTAATTTCATACGTGTGTACATCAGTCTTAGCCATATGGAACCCGTAAATAACGTAGGTAATCACGCAAGCGGCTACTACATTCCCCACCACGCTGTAACCAGCAAATTTAGAGTGGTGTTCAATGCATCGCCACCAACTAGTACTGGAGTGTCACTAAATGAGGTTTAAATAGTGGGCCCGACCATCCAAGACTCGCTCATCAATATAATTTTACGTTTACGACGCTATAGGGTGGCCCTAACAGCCGACATTGAAAAAATGTTCCGGCAGGTACTAGTTGCCCGATACACGGAGACTTCCAACAGATCCTTTGGCGTGAGCCACCCTCTGATGCACTTAAGGTATATCGACTAACAACAGTTACGTATGGTATGGCGTGCAACCCGTATAATGCCATACGTGCACTCCAGCAATGTGCACGTGACAATCACAACGTAGTATCGTATCGCAAGCCGGGCAAGCGCGCGTTATCATTTTAACGTCATTTTACGTTGACGATTTATTGACCAGTTGTGATAACGCCAACGACGCTAAGGAGTTAGCTCACAATGTTGATGAAATTCTCTCCGCTGGGAAATTTGCATTGAGGAAATGGAACTCCAATAATGCTGAGGTAATGAAATACTTGACTGGTAACATTTCTTCCTCTGCAGGCTTGGACATAAACCCTCCTATGGCTTCCGTACTTGGATTATGGTGGGATGCTGCCGCTGACCAGTTCTTCGTCCAGGTGGCTCTCAAACAAACATGTCGTACACCAACTAAACGACGGGTTCTCAGCGAAGTGGCTTAGCTTTTTGATCCCACGGGCTTTTTGGCACCGGTGGTCGTCCAGGGTAAGGTGTTTATACAGCCAATTTGCTCCGCTGATCTTTCGTGGGATGCACCGTTTCTGATGATCTTCGCGACGATTGGATAAACTATCGGTCTAAGCTGGAGTTACTCAACGAAGTTCGTGTGAATCGATGGTTAGGCATGGCGCATGGGGTGCAAACTTTACACGGCTTCTACGATGCTGGTTCGTAAGCTTACGCAGCAGTGATTTACACAAGAACTATAGGCGCAGGCGGTAGAGTACAACTCGCACTGTTTACAGCGCGCACTAAGGTGGCTCTACTCAAGGGATTTACCATACCACGTCTCGAGATTTCGGCAGCGCTCTTGTTGACAGAAGCACTACAAGCTGTAAGAAGTGCTTTGCGTTTAATGAACGCTCGCTATTATTTGTGGTCGGATTCATCGATTGCTCTTTGTTGATTAAAGAAACACCCAACAACGCTTAAGCCATATATATCGGATCGAGTACGTCAGATCCAGGAGCTCACTTCCCCCGATAGATGGCATCATATCCGGTCGGCACAGAACCCCGCTCACTGCGCGAGTAGAGGCTTATCACCCCTCGAACTGTACATCTGTATCTGCTTTGGTGGCAGGGCCCAAGCTGGCTGGAGAAAGACATCCCTGTAAGAGACAAACCGATTCCTCTCCGGGCGGGCAAGGCGAATACAGTACGTCCCGAAGAGCGCACCATTTCCTGCACTGCAGTTATCAATGCTGTGCGATCTATTGAAACACGACAACGTGATGGTAAGGTCATACTATTCACCGAACGCTTTAGTTCCATTCAACGCCTTCTAGGTACACTGGCAATTACCCTGCGATGGCTTAGTTCACATCAACATCTGCGTAAGTGCGTTATAGGTGCAAGAGAATTTGACGCTGCCTTAGACGTTTTGATTCGTATGGACCAAGAGGATGCGTTCAGCAGTGAGGTCAAGCAGCTGACCAGTGGAAGACGCATTACACATTCCAGTCGACTTATGCCGTTAAATCCTTTACTTGATGACAAGCACCTGTTGTGAGTGGGTGGACGCACATTCGATGAACTGACTTATCATACGATCGGCGTTTCCCGATCCTCTTGCCGAGATCCAGTCCTCTGGTCACGCTACTCATCTAACAGGTTCAAGAACAAACCCTTCACGGGGGAGCGCAACTGCTGCTTCAGACTCTCAGGCAACGCTTCTGGATTTTGAATGCCCACCACGCCGTCAAAGGAGCCGTCCACCGCTGTGTGATCTGTTGTCGACATCGCGGAGCGTTGTTGATGCAACAGATGGCACCATTACCTAGGCAGCGCGTTAGCGCTGCACGACCCTTTGCTGCTTCCGGCGTCGACTATTGTAGTCCATTTATGTTGCGTACGGGAACAAAACGCTCTCGCACAATGGTTAAAACCTACCTCGCCATTTTCATTTGCATGGCAACAACGGCTGTTCATCTTGAAGTGGTGGACGACCTCTCTTCTGAGGCGTTCCTTGTAGTGATCGGACTTAAAAAAAAATTTGTGTAGTAGGATCTGGAAAAAATGTGAAGATTTCAAAAAAATGTGGTAGATCTCAGGTTTTGGATGAAACTTTGTACAAAAATTTAAAAAATTCTGCAAGGTTTCACATAAATTGCAAACATTGTAATTAGAATCTAAAAAAAGTTAACTTTAGTATAATAAAGTGAAAGACTGAAGTTGCTAAAAATTGCGTTGAGTTTTGGCAATTTTTTTCCTTGAACGTGTAAAGCAGTTCCTTCCATATCAAGATATTTTTCGAACATATTTTGAAAGATTACTGCGACCTTGCGGAGTGCTGCCAGTTTTTCTTTTTATCACATCACGATGTAGCGAACAAATGTGGCACGTTCCAGAAAACGCTACTTGGGATTTGCCGATTTTGACAATTCTTAAGTAAAAGTATACAACGCGTTAGAAACTTAAGATGCACTGAAATTTGCTAATACTTTCACAAAAATCGCCGTTTTTTAAGATTTCCGCTATTAAATATTTTTATAAATCATATATTTTGCAATTTAACACAATAAAACCCCATTTCCTGTCGACAAATTGAATATTGAGAAAATTTAGTATTTTACAGTTTATTTTATAATCCCATACTGCCTGTTGTTAGTTTTTAGTGCTGGACAATTTTTGCTCTTAAACTTAAGAAAATTTTGTCGAGCAAAAATAAAAGTACTCAAAAATGCGAATATGTGGTAGATTTCAGACCTTGTGTGGTAGATGCTCAAAAAAGTGGCAGATCTACCACAATGTGGTAGAAGTCCCATCAGTGGTTCCTTGATGCGTTCACCCGCTTCATTAGTCGACGAAGACCATGTCGCGATTTGTACAGTGACAATGGCACGGCTTTTATCGGTGCTAATCGACTATTACAAGAAGGTATTGCCACCTGGTACACTGATAACAATCAAACATCGTTAGCAGCTATGGGTACGCAGTGGAATTTTATTACTCCAAGCGCGCCGCATCAAGGTGGGCTCTGGGAGGCTGCCGTCAAGTCTGCCAAACACCATTTATTTCGCTGTGGAGGTGCTCAGACGATGTGGCGTGACCAGATGCAGACTTTGGCGGAACGAGTTGATTCGCGTCCCATCACCCCTTTTCATGACGATCCGGATGACAAGCTCGCCCTTACAGCTGGCGATTTTCTGGGTGGCTCCCCACTTTTAGACGTACCAGAACCCTATGGTCGCCAAGCTCCTACCAATCGACTGAAGCAATGGCAGTAGTTTTGGCACCGGTGGAGTGATGAATATTTGTCTACTCTTTGGAGACGAAACAAGTGGCAGAAGCGCATGCCTGATATCAAGATCAACGACGTCGTGTTGGCAAGGCATGAAAATTTACCTCCAACTCAATGGTGGCTGGGTCGAGTAATAGCAATGTACGCTGGAGGGGATGGAGCCATCCGAAATGTGTCGATAAAAACTAGCAGTGCATGCATCACCCGGGCAGTACAAAAATTATGCCGCCTCATTTAAGTATACAAATATGGGGATAACTTATATATTCAAAAAATGTCACTTAGACCCTTATTATTCTAACCCCTTCAATTGTGTGTTCGGATTCGAATCTTTAGAAATGTCCCGATTTTTGCCCCACAACAACATGTTATCGATAAATCAATCTTTGCATTTAACCGGAGCTTCTACCTCCGCTTTGTGTTAACCATACATTGAACAGCCAGCCCTTAATGTTAACCAGACATCGTGAAAATGGCCCTAAGGCTTTGATCGTGCAGAAGCAGTTTTAATAATACAAAAACAACAAGAAAGCTATGAAGAAACGTTTTGATTGGAGATCGTCATACACATTTCCATGCATGTATGTACATATTTATGTTTGTGAACATTTCTTTTCAATTCTACATTGTAGTAAGTACATCGTAAACAAGAGTTTGGTGAGCAGAAGTGCATTTATTATGGAGAAACTAATTTGAGAAATCGCACTAATTTCAGCCTCAGTTGGAATTATCGAATATCTCTTTTTCAATAATCACGATATCAATACTAGAATAAGCACTGTCTGTAATCTTTAGTTGCACAATTCACATTAAGCCTGAATTCAAACACGATGTTGATACTTTAGTGGGAGCTATGAAGTCCTGCGGCACATCACGAGTTTAGCTGCCGGGTAACACAACAATATACACCAAAGCGAATTAAACAGGTTTTGGCACGAACACTTAAAGTCATCCTGACAGTTTACGCTAATAAAAATTCTACTCCTGGCTATTTCAAAAAATTTAAATATGCACTTACAAACAAATGCATATGCAGCCATACATACATACATAAGTACCTACCCTGTCGGGAATTTTGTAACCGACTACTAAAATAGTTAACTCTTGGACTATTTATTAAGGCTAACTTTCTACTGGTTTCAAAGCCATGCAGGGCTCATCCCAAAAAATTAAGTAAAAGTTTTCAACAAAGAAATAACAAAAGAAAAACTATTACATATGTACGTACATATAAATCTATGAGTTTTATGTAAAGTTCGTAACAACCAAGAATATCATTGTTTTATTTAGAGTATTCAGCATATTGAATTTAATTGTGGATAAAATTCATCACAACTCAAAGAAAAGTCACATGCAATTCAGCGAGGTATAAATACATATTCTTTTAATACTGAGTCAACATTAACATCCAGAATGCGATGAATATTGAGAAAAGCTGGCCCAAAGCTCGTTCTCTGCCCATGCCTGCACATGCATGATGATATTCATTGAATTATTTTGCAAAATTATAACTAAATAGGGGAGCTACGGGTATTATGGACCACATAGACAACAATTTCTGTAGAAACAACTGAA